CTGCAGCTAAAGCAACAAACACAAGCAGCTTCATCACAACTCAACAGACAGCAAATATCTTCATATTAAATAATTTTTAATTCAATAAGTTCTCACTGTGTGGTGCCCACCGAAACTCTTAATACGAGCCTCTCATTACAGAAACATCTTTAATCTTCAATGCGCAGCGCTCAAAGAGCAGCGTGCGCATACCCTCGTGGAGCTCTCCACTAAAGCCTCAGCACTCCGCGCATGGCCTTCTGGGATCAATCGTGATGCCTGGATTCAGGCAGGTAAGCAGGCAGTGACCACAGGGCGGGGCAGTGGTCAGATAAGGTACGTCACCACAGGGCCTCCCGGGTTGCCCAGGAGAGGAGTGGCCTCCTCATCTCTACCAGCCTTCCCCGCCAGCGGCACAGAAGCGGAGCAAGTGGATCCGGCCAATTCCTGGGAGATCTCCAATTCCGCGCTGCTGGGCGAGACTTTGTTCAAGCGGGCGGTGAAATCAAAATTGGCCTCCTGCAGAACAGAAATGCGCGCCCACGCACGCACACACACACACACACAAATGAAGTCAGGAGCGTGCGTGACAAAGATCTGAATGTTGTGCACGGCAAAAACAAGTTTAAGAATGTAGAATTTTGCAGCAGCTGGCCCGGGAGGTGCTCATCTGCCTGTCGGAGGCCTGCGAGGGAGGATCACACACCACATCCCTTAGCCCCGCCTCACTGGCACTGCACAGCAGCACGGCTGCGTCAGGCAGCTCTCTGCACCGCAGGCCTCCCGCTGCAGGCCTGGCAGGTGTGCCCATGACGCCACCGGCCCACCTCGGCCTCCCAGCAGCGTCCTCCCTCTTCATCTCCACAGCACCGGGGACAGGAAGCCTCAGCAGTGTGGAAATGTCAACACTTTGATGCAAGACACAACAAAGCTCCTTCTCCCAGCAAATCATCTACAATCACACTACACAGAGGAGTGCCTGAATCTGAGGACGCCAGCGCCATGCCAGCACGCTGGCTCATCTCTACCGGCAGGGCAAGGACCCCCTGCACTGGGGGGCTCCCAGTCAGGAACTGTCAGCTCGTTACTTGGTTATTGCCACTTCTTTTTAAATAGGGTTTCTGTTCTTAAAACCACCCAACAGGATGTGTACGTGGCATCGAGCCTGCACCCGTTCCAGAAACGTGTCCTCGTTCAAGCGCGTCGCCCAGCAGCTGGGCCTGTGGGGACGGAAGACGTTCTGATGCACCGTATCCGCTCACACATCGATCACTTATGCAAGTGCACAGATTCAAATGTTAGACCACTGTGTCCCAGATCAGAACCCAGGTTGATAACCGCTGCCCCAACATACGATTGCGATTGATGATTCTTTCCTGCCCCCTTGTGGACATTTATAGAATGGCCATGGTGAATGAATGCCTAAAGCTGACACTTGTATCCAAAGTTACTTACATACTGCAGCGCCCCACCCAGGACCTGAGCCCACACCCTTCCAGTTACAAGTCCAGGACCCTGCCAGCTGGTCCACACTGCTGCCCTTTAGCAGGCTTGTAGCAGCTTCCTTGTAAAGACCGACTCACTCTCCATTCTGTTCTCCCTATCTGCCACAATCCGTGTTTTTGCAGAAAGGCACGCTGGCGACGTCACGATGGCTGTTTTATAGGTCAGGCAACTCACCTCCACCCTGTGCTTGTGAGTGAAGCGGCGGGGGCGGCAGGCGGTGAAGACGATGAAGCCGAGGGTGATGAGGATGAGTGTGGCACAGGGCAGGATGAAGAGCACGTGCTGGGTCGCTGTGGATCAGTCCGCACGCATGCAGGGTTGGCACAGAGAAACAGAGGAACAGGGAGAGATTGCTCACTAACTAGCATGGCATCCTGAAGCTTTCCTTGTCCCATTTCTCTGTAGCCCATAAATCATGTAGCAAACAAACTGAAGTGATCACAAACAGCAAAGGCCCCCCTAATCAATGTGTTAATTTCAGAGATGTGGCCCCAAAACTGCACCTTGACTTAGCACTGGTGTCATCACTGATCATCTGCTCACACAAAGTCACAAGCTCCGCGATAATGTGACAAGAGCCAGGCTCTCTCAAGGTCTGTTGCCAATGCATTTAGCAAGCTGCATGCCACATTAGTGTTAGTCACTTTCATGCAAAGTCACATGTCTGGACAGCGTCTACAAGCATGGCAGAGGGCAGGCACTACCTGGAGTGAAAATTCTGAGCTACGGCTGGAACGTCAGTAGAGAGAATAGAAGCCGATTTGAGTTTTAATTTACAAGGGAGGGATTATTTCTTTCAACCTCAGAAGATAAATTTAACATGGCTTGAAACAGGCATGACACAGTAGCTGCAGATTTGTTCATGCAAATTTCCATAAATGTATTTTTTCCTTCTATACCCAGTGCCTGTTCCTTAACATCAGAGTGAAAAAAGAGAAGTCATGCAACAAGAGCTTCTAGGACCGTTCCCTTGGCGAGACAAATGTTCATGTAATCATACGGATTCAGTTAACAGGCTGAATTAAAAAGCAGGAGATTGAGAAGAGCTAAGAAATTGTCTCCATAAACGCCTGGCCCTTCCTAGGATGAGATCACCAGCACACATCAATCAGGCGCAGCTGTGCACATGAGCAAGACCGACTGATCGAAAACCACAAAACGCAGCGAAAGGAAGAATCCCTCCCCGCCAGCACCACGGAAATCAGTTCTACACTCCTTCCCGAAGAGCGCTGCGAGACGAAAGCACATTCCCGCGGGCCGGGCAGATGGAAGCGTGAAGACCCTCAACGCAATTTTAACCCCCTCCTGGAGAGGAGAGCCGCGCAGCTCCGCGGCCGGGGTCCCAGTCGCCCCCAGGCCCCGCTCACCGTCGCTGCCCACGGTGAAGGCGTGGAAGGTCTGCAGCAGGCTGACGTGGTTCCTGGCGGTCAGGCGGAGGCAGTACCTGCCGGCGCTGCCGAAGGTGTAGCGCAGGCTCAGCGTGGTGCCCTGCAGCCTGACCAGGTGGCACCGCACGGGCGGCGCCGGGCCGCAGTCTGGCACCATCGCCCAGCACAGAGTCAGCGGGGGGCTGGGAGGGGAAGAGGAACATGCTCACAGAGAGGAATCATGCAGGACAGATTTTTACTGGATGTAGAAATTGGGAGCTGGGCAGTAGATTGTTTTGTCTCTGGCCTGCAGTTCTGTTCAATATCTCACCTTCTACTTTTCCTTCCTGAATGCTGTATAAATATACGGACCAGCGCCGAGGCACCACAAACCGCTACATGTGGAGCAGCCCTGCCCTGAGGATCGGAGAACCGCGGCTGCGTTTGACACCCTCAAACCACAGAGCCAGGACCTCTCCGGGTCAGAGCTCCGAGGTGTCACCCCAGCCGGGTCTGGGCAGTACTGGGATGAGGGAGCTCGAAGGGACTGTGGTGTGAGTGGCCCAGTAGCGTGAGGACCGAACAGTGTGCTGT